GCTTTGTCACAGGACTCGAAGGCAGAACATTTGAATTTCAAAGTAAGTTCAGTCAAAACAGCCAAAGAGTTGACCTTCACTTCCCAGCATCCAGCTTCCAGATCACAAAGTAGGGTTCATTAAGACATTCCTGTACATGTGGGATGGCTCGGCGCATCTCAGCATTGACAGGAAGAAGAACATGGAGATAAGACCAGCGCTGAAAGTACATGGAAGTCTAGAGAGAGAGTCGGAGCCAAAACCTTTCACCTTCCATGTATCTTTCTCTGTACCGACGTGCCTGTCAAACACCAGCAAGATGAACTACTACTTAGAGGAAAGAAGGGGGCAGGAAGGGAGCCGTGTTGTCAAATGAGTGTGTCTTAAGTGGAAGGGGGGGGGGGCGGGTTGTGTTTACATGGGCTCGCTGAAAGGTTTTTTTTCTGGTAGGCCTTGTTTGACATGGCCAGGATAACTAATGAATATGTTCTCTCTCTCTGTTTCCCCGCGTCTTTTTGTCTGCCTATCTTCCTCTTTATTCTCCTATCTTCATCTTTCCATCTCATGCACAATATCCCACTCCTTCACTTATATCCCCTCTGTCTATCTTAATATCTGTCTTCTTCCTTTCTTTCTGCATTCAAGTTTTTACAAAGGTGCATCTGTTGGAGAGAGGCCTTTTAGCTTTTGGGGGTTTGTGGGGCCATGGTTGTTAATTGTGTGTTTACAGTGGCCCCTATATCCTGCCATCAAGCCTGAAAAAGCCTATAAGGGAGACCTGAAAGCTCACACTGGCATCTGAAAGGCCATTTTAGTGAAAGAGCTTGAAACAATTATAGTGTCAGTGAAGTGCCTAAACATTCGGCCAGTTTCAGAGCACTAGTAGTTTGACTTTCTGCCTGTTTTGACGTTGGTGGCACTTAGTGAGGTTTGGACTGGAGCCGCATTGGTCAGTGCTCGTTTTAAGAGTTGCACCTTACGGCCAAGACGAGACCACAGGGGAAATATTTTCTAAGACCTCAAGTTTACCCTACTATTCCTTTAATTGCATTACCAATGGCCTCTCAAACCATCCAATAATACATTATAATAGGATGCCTTATCTCTCTATGTAGTCGTTTTTAAAGTACGCACTTTTCCTCTTGGTCAAAATCTATGCGATTTTTCGCATATAATTATCACCTCCGTGGAGGCACTCTTCTTTCTTGAAGAAAAGCTCTGGATAACATGCAAGGTCGGCGCCTTCTTGTTTTCTAAAACAGCAGAATATTTGACCTTGGTCTTCTGTGCAGACAGATTGTAAAAACCATCACCCCAGGATCAACTGTCGCTGTACTATTTAGTTTTTTCAAAGAATAACGAGAATCAAGAACATTTCTGTAATCTGTTGCTGGTTTTAAATCAGATAATCAAATACGTTTTGTGTTAGACACCTCACCTTTTACATTCAGTGCAAGGAGAATTAATACATAAAACATTCTGCTCGGCAGTGGGCATTCCTTTTTTCTTTCTCTCCTGTTTATCTTTTTCCCACTGTCTCTCTCTCACACACACACACACACACATTCTCTGTTCCTCTCTCTCTCTCACTCTCACTCACACACACACACACACACACACACACACCACACACACACACACACACACACACACACACACACACACACACACACACACACACACACACACACACACACACACACACACACACACACACACACACACACACACACACAGCAGTAGCCAGGGATCCCAGGTGCAGGATGGATGTGAAAGGCTTTGTGTTTTGTCAACAGCACAGCAGCACCTCACATGACTATCCAGTGGACTCACGCAGGGAGGAGAGGGCTAAGGAAGTGGACGATGAAAAGAGAAAAGGAGGTGGGGTTTAAGAAGATAGTTTGGAAGATTTGGGAATAAGATGGAGGAGAAAAAAAGATGTGAAAACAATGTGTGTCGATTTCACTAGTAGAGGAAAAGGGATATATGCAGCAGAGAGGGGCAAATTAAAAAAGATAAAGGACAAAGAAGAAAGGGGCATGGAGTGAGACACAAAGTGAGTGAGTATTCAGGAGCAGGATGGAGTAAGTGATGGGAGGGAGGGGGAGTGAGAGAAAGGGTGGAAAAGGCCAGTGGCCTCTGCTCCGTCCCCTCTGTGCTGCTAAACTGCCCACCAGTTCCCCGCAGCTCTGTCACTTCTCGTTTGTTAATCCCCCTTTCTTCTCCCCCTCCTACCTTTCCTCGGTCCCTTTCTCTCAAATCGGTCAATTGTTAATGTGACCCCTTTAAACCCCACCGTCCCTCTCTTGCAGTATTGTCAACAAATTATCAGTGTGTACAAGAGAGACATTTAGAAAGGGCACTGCTGGATGACGAATGGCTATGCTCGTTTAAAAGTGTCTGCTAAAGTTGTTTTTGTCGTGAAAGTTTTCCTTTTGCAAAAGAAAACCTAGTAATCAGCATATTATGAAGCTACAGTAGTTAATGTGTTTGATGTGTCCGATAAGATAAGGAGGGACCACTTTACATAACGTTTTAATTGTAATACTGCACACGTCCTCACTGGTGAAATTAACTCTCAACATGAAAGAGATGATGAGAACAACCACCTTATCCAAAAGACAGCCCTTTTCCTTGAGCCTTAGTCACTGAAGTCAAAGTGGTCGTGGAAGCTTTTGGTGAATACAAATCAATGATGTAAGAAAAAACAAGTGTATCACATCAACACATAAGATATCAGTGACCGTGAAGTAAATCAATAGAGAAAGAGACATTTGTGCCACACGTGAAAATGCTTGGTGTGTAGCAATTTGCGTATCTGTGTCTTTATGCTTCAGTCCATTAGGTTGCATTTGGCGTGTATCCCTAGAGTTCTTTGATGTTTTGTAAAACATCTAACGTTTTGACTGACACTGCATAACAACCCTGAAAATGTTTCGCACATATATAAGTGCCCATCTATTCTAATGTGTTATTCAAAGGTGAGGCTCTCTCTCTCTCCACACAATGAACACACTGTTAGCACTAATTGCTAAATGTTCACTTAGTGATACTAGCCAGCCAACACAGGAGGTACCACTAAAACAAGGTGTTTGCTAGTTAGGTTGCTTTTAGCATATATTTCATAATGGAATATTCTTTTGAAGACAATAGAGTAAGCACTTTGTCTTTATTTGATTTAAATACCAATATCAGACTGGCAGTTTTTTTTATTATTACGGCAAAGCTTCTTCGCTTTAATATTCCACCAAATGTATGCACAGACAATAAATCTGTTGCTACAAAAGCTATTTCTCGATTGAATACATGAGCTAAGAAAAGAGAATATGCTTTGAAGAAATAAACAATTAAATACAGTTGTTAGATGATTCAAAAGTGGCGATGCTGCTACATACTGTACAATTCGCCATAAAGAGTATTTAGCTATGGCTAGCCAACTTGCACTTAGTCTTTTATGCTTCACACTTTTTAAAGGAGACTATATGCTGAGAATGTTGAGATACCTGAGGACAATCTCACTTTACATCCCCCAATATGTAGAAATGGCCAGCAGTGGGACTTCTCCAGTGCACAGTAAATGTCAGCTTTTATGTCATTTTGACTATGCTCACATATCGATTTCTGCAAAAGTAAAACATAAAAAAACATATAGGAAGCTCAGGAAGTTCGTATGCTTTCAATTTCTAATAAAAGAACCTGAATCACGTAAATGTTACTGTAGGTTTACATTTTCAGAGAAACAAAGTACATTGTTTTATTCATTTGGACTGTGCACTTTCACTCATACTTTTGTATTCTCATTGTTTATGAGAAGCATCTGCTTAATAAAAAGAACCTGAACTTGAGAAGAGAGGTTGAAAAAGGGGCAGGAGAGCAGATTGGGTATCTGCTAGTAGTTTATTTCAAAGAGGAAGGACTTGTGCTTATTTTGGACCATCTCCGCTTGCAGCTGTTAAGCATCTGGTCTCAATGATCATGCTGGAATGAATGAAAATCTTAAAAGCCATGAGGGAAAGACACTTCCGTGAGCCTTTTTTCCCTCAAGTGACAAACAGGTGCCCTTTTGAAATAGGATAAGTAGGAAATACAGCAGCTTTGTTCTAGTTCTTAGCCATATCAGTTTTAAGAGTGAAACAAAAATAATCTGCTGTGACAAAGTATCAGGTGTTTTTTGTTTCTCAAATGTTCTCTCCATTATAATTTCTTTTTTTTATAAATGTTTGGGATTGGTTTCACTATGTTAGTTTTCAGTTCAGTCAGCCGGCTAACAAATGGATGTCAATACAGACTATGCACATGGTTGATGTTTTCCGCCTGGACTCTGACCTCATCACTCCCTGCAGCACGCAGCAGCACAGCAGAGATTTGTGGAGTAAAAATATTAAACTTCTCCCCCAGGGGATTTTACAAACATACATGTGGCAGCAACGAAACTGCCGTAATACTGACATGATACAAGCTTACTCATGAAATGCTACATGATCAAGTGTTAACAGCAAGTGTTTGCAGTGTCACAGCAGGCCTGCATCAGAGCAAAGCGAGGATATAGAGGGGTCAGACGGCCTTATTGCATAGAATGTGTTAAATAAATCTAGTAGAGTATTTTAAAGCAACGCACCTTAAGAAGTCTGCCCAATCTTCTCCACAGGCTCATCTTCGTCCAATATGTTGCATCCTTTTCCACAGAATATTAAATACATGATAAACCTCCTAGCTCTTCATGACATAAACACCTTTTCTTTAAAATAACATAATGAAACTCAGTATGGCTGTGTTACTGATAATACTTTTTGATATGTTTTTATTTTTGCAAAAATGCTCTCTTTTTTCATACCCAGTAGTAGCATTAGCCCAAACATTTGATGTTTCGAATGCGATCCCTGAGCCTGGCAGTGTTAGTGATTTTTCATCTGAAAAAATATATCATAAATATATGACTCATGCTTGTGATTTCAACTTGTTTTTTTTGTCTCTTAACCAACTTAGTTCCTCTTATTTTCTATTTTTGTCTGTTTTTGTAGGCAATATATTGGACATGCCGCGAAGAGCATCCAGTAAGGAGGCATCGGAGAGTGGGAAGGAGGCCAGTGGCAGCACAGCTCCTGCTTCCTCCTCCGAGGGGATCCTGTTGTGTCACTGTTATCACCACTGCCCTGAAGACTCACCCAATAACACATGCAGGTACTGTAAGAAGAGGAGAAATGCATAACAAATGTAACACACTTGCGTCTGCGTTATTAGTGGTTATTTTAAATAGTTGCTTTACTTAGTGTCCTTGTTTTCCAGGACCGATGGCTACTGTTTCACCATGGTACAGGAGGAGGACGACGGGGTATCGTTCGAGAAAGCAGGATGTCTTGCGCTGGACGGATCAGAATTTCAGTGTCGGGTGAGTAGATGACTGTCACAGCACACTACAAAAAACTGCGTCCTTTATCTCATATCTTATCTTAACAACTTAATTCAACCCTGTATTATATAAAAATATGTTCAATTGACTATGACACAAAACAGAGAAAATACAATTCAATTTATGGTTTGAGCCATAACTTAATAAAAAGCTGAACATATATAACTAATAAAAAAGGAAAAAGAGATATCAAATAATTACATTACTGTCTTCCAGAACACGGGGAACGCACGTCAAAGGAGATCAGTGGAGTGCTGTTCAGACGAAGATTACTGCAATAAAAACTTGCATCCTACACTGCCACCACTTAAACCACCTCGTAAGTCTATCTATCATTCTCCTCTCATCCCTCCACTCTTTCTTTTCCATCAAACACAAAAGATAGCTATTTTCTCCAGTTGGCAAGTGGCATTGACAGTGTACATTAAACAAAGTCAGAGCAAAGAACTGTGATTGATGGTGTTATGGCACACAAGATTAAAGATATCATGACATTCTTAGAGAGACAAAGACAGCTTAAGTGGGGGAGACAACGGGAGTTACTGTCAAACTGTCCTGTAGCTGCTGGGTGTCAAGGGAGTACCGAGGTCTCTACTGTGTACAACACTATACTCCATGTGCAAGTGTCTGAGTCTTATTGTGTATTTGAGAGACAGTAAGCCTAGATTCCCAGAGAAATCACAAACCCCAGCAGACAGCGAGGGCAGTCATCAATCTGAAACCCTATCATAGTGGATCAGGAAGAGAATTCATCGACTAGGCTCAGGGCTTCCTCTCGTTTCGGACTGGGGTCTTAGGGGAAAAGAGTGTGTGCCAGAAGAAAATGAAAAATTGATGAGTGAAAATACGATTTGTATTTGATTAACTGTAAAGCGGTTCTTTCAAGTGACTTGTAAGGATGACTGATTTCTTCGTATACTTTTCTCTATTTCCTCTCCATGTTTTGGGGATTTTAATCAATTTGATTTGATCCTTGTTAGTTTCTAGCCGACATTTATAGGGCAGAAATGGACTCCAAGCCAAAAATGTCCAGTTTTGGGATAGTGTTTTTTCTCTATCTAACATTGTTTTTATGTCTTTGCATACCTTTTTTCTGCCCCTCTCTTCCATTCCGTCTCACTTTTCTTTTCTTGCCACCCCGACCCCCTCTCCCACCTCTATCCTCCCCTCTCCAGTCTATGTTGATGGGAAGATCCACCACATGGCCTTGTTGGTCTCAGTCACTGTGTGCAGCATCATACTGGCCTTCATTATAGTGTTCTGCTACTTCAGGTAATTAACATGTGACCATCAAATGCACACAAATCAAAATTCTTCTCGCTACAGTTTCCAGCAAAACGTTATAAATACCTTTCGACTATAATGCAAATATGTCATAAATAATACCAAAAATCTTCCTGTTATGTCAACAAATTATGAGTATACCATGCCATAAAGATGAATAAAAACGGCATAGAATAGTATGTCCTAAGACATTTCCTGGTAAACTGTATCATTAAAACTAAATAAAAGTCAACAACGTTATTATATTTTATGTCATAAAAACCTAATTAAAAAGTCATAGCATAATATGTCATGACACTTGAAGTTATACTGAATGCTTGTGTGTTCTTACAGGTATAAGCGCCAGCAGTCTCGTCCTCGGTACCGTATTGGTCTGGAGCAGGACGAGAGCTACATTCCCTCCGGAGAGTCTCTGAGGGAGCTGATCGAGCAGTCTCAGAGCTCTGGCTCTGGCTCAGGGCTCCCTCTGCTGGTGAGATACACAAATTGCACCTAACACCTGTTGGATCAAAGCGATGCACCCTACAGTAGATCCCTTGTATGCACACTAGTGCACATTGCCATATACTTGATTACATTTTGTCTCGTGTCTTACCATTAAGGAAGTATGTGAGGAGATGATGGTGGTCATTTGATACTTATAAGACATACCATAAGATTTAAGTATTTTCTTAAAAATATTCTTATATAAAGTTTGACCCTGTGAAACATTGAAAACACTATTCCCTAATTAGCTTGTGAGCACCTAACCATCTAAGGGTTTCCTTTCTGAAATCTAAGGAGCTACATTTCCTGACACACAATGCAAAACACACATCGGTTTAATAGCTTATCTTAAAATCTCAGAAGTTACACTCTTGAGCAAACCATTCTATTTGTTCTCCTCTTCAGGTGCAGCGAACGATAGCCAAGCAGATCCAGATGGTGAAGCAGATAGGCAAGGGGAGGTATGGAGAGGTGTGGATGGGCAGATGGAGGGCAGAGAAAGTTGCCGTTAAAGTTTTCTTCACCACTGAGGAGGCCAGTTGGTTCAGAGAGACTGAGATTTACCAGACTGTTCTGATGAGACATGAGAACATCCTCGGTAAGACTGGCTTCTTTCTGTATTTTCTCATGTGTACCTTTTCTAATACTGCTCCCCTCTTGTATCGGCCTCGTTTGCTTTTGGGAGTATTAACCTCCCTATCTGTCTGTCTTTACACATTTCTCTTGTATTAAAAACCAACTAACGTATACTCTTACTGCTCCATTTCAATCAACAAAGTTACAGGGGATTTGAAGGGGAATATAATAAATTAGTCTTTCTTATATAGTTGCAGCAATCCTAACAATCCTTAATCATGGACTGTCGGATAGATGAGTTGGTTTACTGATAGGTTACTAATGCAAGTGGGACTGTCCATTGTTAACGTTGCTGCACCACACTGCACTCACTGCCAAAAACAATCAATTATGGCCCAGAGAACGTACACCACAACAAATTATAATGTAGACAACAACAGACTGCAAACGAAAGATTGCATAATTAAACACTACAAGATGCATAGTAATTAAGAAGTCGGGCAAAAGATCACCTGCCAGTAAACTAGAAGACAGACTCTATGGAGCTGCTGTGCATAATGTTGGCTTCTACAGTCGATACTGCATGTTTTGTTTTCTAATTCGGCACTGGGATCATCAAATTCACTAAATAAGAAAATTGTCAAGATTAAGATGTTAAAGGTGGGGTAGGTAATTTTGGAGAAACCAGCTCGAGTGCGCAAGAATTTGAAAATACACAACCGGAAAAAATCTGCCACTTCCTTACAGAGCCCCTCCTCCAAAACACACGAACGTGCACATGACCAATGAGGGCACGAGATCAGTTTGTGCACAGATGGAAGGCTGACAGGCAGGTAGGCCATCCAGTTATTTTAGCCGGGCCGGCTAAAATGATTGGTCGTACTTTTTACAGTGCTACGGCTTCCACAGATGACATTTTTGTATGGATTTTTTTTCAAAGCACTTAAGATATTCATTGCTATCGGGATGTTAAGAGCATTCCATGGAATATAACAAAAAGTGTATCTCGAGCCGGTTTCTCAAACTTACCTACCCCACCTTTAAAGTCCTAAAATAAAGTTACATTTTAAATCTTTAAATGACCTCTATGTATACTGATTTCACATAATAAAAGTATTTTTTCTCAGCAAAAGTGAATTAATGTATTGGCTGCACAAACTGGTTCTGCTTTAATTCTAGGATTGAACCTAACCTATTAAAACAGTGAAGACACACTCCCTGACTCCTCTATTCACTCTCTTTCCATTCTCAGGTTTTATAGCTGCTGATATTAAAGGAACTGGCTCCTGGACCCAACTCTACCTAATCACTGACTACCATGAAAATGGCTCTTTGTATGACTACCTCAAATCAACCACTCTCGACAATAAAGCCATGCTGCGGCTGGCCTACTCCTCTGTGTCTGGCCTCAGTCACCTCCACACTGAGATCTTTGGCACCCAGGGCAAACCTGCCATTGCCCACAGGGATCTAAAGAGCAAGAACATACTAGTAAAAACAAATGGGACCTGCTGTATAGCTGACCTGGGACTGGCAGTCAAGCTTATCAGGTGAGTGAGTCAGTCACATGTGTTGCTGTTAGGCATATTTTCAATATATGTCTCAAATCCTCATTCTGCTGAATTTTAAGCTTTGGTAGGGGGCTGAAAATGTTCATGAATCTGAGTACTTTGAACTTCTATTATCTCAGAGGATTCAGTAATGTGCATAGTTCATTCATCTTTAATCTAAAAATGTTACTTTGATCTCTGCAGTGACACCAATGAGGTCGACATCCCTCCCAACACCAGAGTGGGCACAAAGCGCTACATGCCTCCGGAGGTTCTGGATGAGACTCTGAACAGAAGTCACTTTCAGTCGTACATCATGGCTGACATGTACAGCTTCGGGCTGATTCTCTGGGAGATCGCACGGCGTTGTGTCTCAGGAGGTAAATATACCTTTTATGTACATACTTTTATCTTTTTGGACACAAACAACTTTTTTAAATGCCAACAAATATTGCACTGTTTGGGATGGCTATGCTCTATGGAGTTTGACATCTTGACACATGACCAGAGTGTATTTCAACTGCATATTATTGGTTGTAGGGATCCTTGAAGAGTACCAGTTGCCATACCATGAGTTGGTGTCTACAGACCCTTCATATGAAGACATGAGAGAGGTGGTCTGCATCAAAAGACTACGACCATCATTTCCTAATCGGTGGACCAGCGATGAGGTAAAATACATCTAAATAGTACAACTCATACATGCTATCATACACACACAAACTAATGACCTTCCTAACACTATCTGTGTCTCCTCAGTGTTTGAGACAGATGGGGAAGCTGATGACAGAATGCTGGGCCCACACCCCGGGCTCCCGCCTCACAGCCCTACGGGTAAAAAAGACACTTGCCAAGATGTCAGAATCGCAGGACATCAAGCTGTGAGCAGGCCCTTCCAGGTGTGTGTTTACACAGGCGCGGAAAAGGCTCTTACTGTCACACTGGCTCTGGTCCAGGATGCACTATCCTTGGAAAAGGAGGAGGAACAGGAAGCATGATCACCACTTGGAAATCGCAGGATCACACACTTCGAGTCCAGATGCACAGAACACGAGAGTCCAGGTCCCCCTTTGAAAGAATGTATAACAGGATTACGGTGGTAAACTCAAAGTGAAACTCATTAAAAACAATCCGTCCGACCCTGTTCTGTCGATCAGAGAAGATGAGTCATTTTCATTTCAGACTAGTTTAAGGACTCTAAATCCAGTTTCTTGTTCACATGCTCCAAAAGCCCTGGAGAAAAGATATGTAAGTTTAACTTGGCACTGTAGCTGCAGAGATATGCCGACACGCTACTGACTAGTGAGTGGAATACTATATCAATGCTTTCTGTGAAAGCTAGCCTACCTGTAGATGAAGGTCCCATTGATAAAGCATTAGGCTTATTGCAGCATGACACCTCCTTTCTAAACAGTCGACCCACTACTGCCTTTATGTTCCAATTGGATTGAACACTTGTGTCACTCTTGAGTTGCTTTAGGTCGCAATGACTGACAATATGTGGCAGAACAAGTGTTTGTTGAGGCTAAAAGTTTTGTTTACGCTGTAAGGTTTTCAGACACTGAAGAAAAGGTACACCTGTATTTTTTAATTATAATGATGTGTCAAAAATGCAACAGCTTGTTTTTCATGTAAAACTCAAACTCTTCTTTGTGAAAAAATAAAGTTGATATGTCCAAATAAATTCTGGATAGAGGCTCTACATGCCTGTGTTCCCTTGCCCTGCTTTAGGAAAAGGGGCTTTGCAGTAATAATGCCAATGAAGCAGAACGGTGCCACCCATAGGTGCTCCGCAGCAATTTCAGGAAGGAAGGTCTGACAAGGCAATCAGAAATTGTTGTACACAACTGTATTGATGACTTCTCTGATGTAGTGATCTATTTTAAATGTGTGTAATTGTGCCTGTGTTAGTTTAGGGGTTCAACAAGTCGTTTTTCATTCAGACACTCCCAATAAAATCGAGTATGATTATGTGTGTGTGTTAGACAGCCGGACCAGAAGCCTACACTAAAGATATAATAGCCACACACAGTTTTGTTGAAAAAGCGACTGGTCCTAGAAATCATCCTCTATCGTCCCCAAACCAACACTAGGTTTACCCAGTAAACATCGAAAGGTCCTTTCTTTCTGACCACCAGGCTGCCTCATACATTAAAGTACATATTAGGCTGATTCACCATAATAAACAGCTGACACACGGAAATCTAATGGCAGTAGAGTCGTTAAAAAATCAATCAGCTGCCTTTTTTCCGGGGAACTTCTCTGCTGATTCAAATTCTCACATGGTAGCAGTCAAGTATTAGGAAGATTAAACAGCCTTACCGCCTCAGTATGAAATATTTCTGAAGGTACAGTAAATGTGGACAGCTTTCATCATCACAGTAAGCACATTCTTAGGTTGTCTGCTACCACATCCAATCATTGTAATTATTTTTAGTCCATTTGTAAAATCCTTGATAAACTTTCCTTCAGGTCAATGAGTAGTCTTTTTGTTTGTTTTAAATCTTTGCCAACTAAAATCGTGGGATTCTTTGTAATTGTTGATTGATGTGTTGTGTTATACACGCCCTCTCTTTCCTCTTGGATGGTGTGCCTTATTTAATATGTACCTACTGTAGTTGTCTGTGAGAGAAAGTGGTGTTTCTAATTCAGTAAAAAGGTTGAACATTCCCCCAATAAAGTGTTTCACTCATGGACATGGCTGATTCACAGTTTGTGGTGGCTGAATGAGGAGCATACTAACTAGTCTCTCAGGTGCCTCTTACTGTTAAGGCATGCTCTCAATATTTCCTTGTTTAAAGAGAAGTGCATGCCTCATTGCAGCCCAGCGGTGCTGCTGAGCACACAGCATGTTAAACAGCTACACCATAAGCATTTCTTGTTGCTATTACTTCCTCTACAGAATGCTTTATCCAACTACTATTGGAGTCTGGCAACTGTTAATATTAATTACACATAAAGGTACAAATCAAAGCATTGCAAATGACATATATATAATCAGCATGGTCTATTGCATTTGGAATCTTGCCGTACACACCCTATTATTACAACATGAAAGCATTAAACCGTTTCCCAAAACATTTCTGTAGAAATAAGCCACCATAGGCACAACATATTATCAGCGTTGCTTATAAATATAATTTATTAATTGTCTTAAAAATTCTTTCTTACACTTTGTACAGAAAACAATTAGAGGAGATAGAGAGGCGAGCATTCAACAAGATTGAGCAAGATTCATGAAGCGTGCCAGAAATAGCAAAATGGACCAACACTACCCCGCAATAATCAGATCACCCCTTATAGTAAAATAAAAATGCACTTACAAGCACAGCTCTAGGAATAGACTTCTATCATGATAACCAATGCCAAATTTGCATAGTAGACACTGCTTTTACAAAAAAGGAAAGAAACTTAAATACAAAACTTGAAACATAGAAACTAAAATCTAACTGTCCTGCTATTATTTTGTATTCTCAAATTTGCCAAATATAACTGACAGTACACAACTGTACATGATGTCAATACAAAATATTTTGTACATACTTTGATATCTTAACACTACTTGTTTTCCTTTCAACATCTCGAAGGATCGCCTTCTAGAGGCCCAACGTATGCTTTCCTCATGAAACCCCCCCAGTCTGACCTGCTGTAAACCGTAGATTTAGAACGTGGTGAGGATCTGATTATGGGCCAAGTTACACAGTAACACGTTTCTTACATCTGACCATCGTGTCCTTGCGCACGTTCATCAGCATGTATTCTGCATTTGACTAAATAAGCGATGTTGATGATCAAACAGAGATACTGTCATGACTTTTGTCTGCATATTTTCTTCTGAAGGAAACTTAATGTTTAGGCTTTTATCCTCAAAACTAACATAACTCTTCCCTTTGTTTCCTGACATCAGCAGTTTGAAAACATACAAAACATCCACTCCATCATTTAAGCATGAACCATTTCTAATTTGAATGATAAGGCTGTCCAAAATAAAAGACTCATCAATTGTGAGGGCTGTTGAGGGCTAGGATGAACAACAATACAAGAGGTCAGATTTTTTACAAGCATATTTAAAAAAAATCGCCATGTAAAATCAATATCTAAAGGTTTCTTCCTGTGTGGACAGCGACCAGAAAAAAATGTGCCATGAAAAGGTAAACATCTGACCTTTTGTACTGATATTTACTCAGCCTTTGCCCTCTTTCCTTTAACATATCCTCCTCAGTATCTCCTCTACATACCTGATGTTCAGTTTCATATGGCGTCTCTCCATACTTCAGATTCATAGATTTGACCTGTATTCCCTTTGAACTGAATTTTCATTTAGTCTTTAACATGGTCCATATGGTTCGTGTCCCCAGGGGCATAAGAAATCTACTTAAAAGCCACTCAAAATAAGGCTGTTTTTTTTTTCCATTTCTTCAGACACTGTTGACCCAAGTCTATGCATACATTAAAAAGCCAACCTTGCTTCACAATGTTATGCAAAACACAAAAGTATTACACTTTATATTACATACAGTCATCCCCTTTAGTTGATATCTTGATCTTAAGCTCTAATTTACAACTTTTTCAACAAAAACACCATGAGTTGGAATGTTAGTTGCTGCAGAACATTATTTTAGATAAAGGGCAACTAACTGATATGTTACAGATTTTATCCCCCCATACAGTTCACACCCATAAAAACATTAAAATGGCATAACAAATGAAAAACAATGTTAATGTAAGTAACACAAAATAATATTATGGTAATAAAGGTCATTATATTGAACATGATAATCATGTATTTACACGTTTCAGACGATCACAAATGTAAATGCTGTTATTCTTCCAAATCCACTGGAGGGTGCTAGTGACCATGATCAGCTCGCAAGTGAAATCAACAGAATGCACCCTGAAGGCAGACAACACAACTGACATCCTGTGATGATGAGATGCCGAAAATATGACAGAAATATATATGTTATATATATATTAGTAAATTAAAACATGATTGATAAAAAGTATATTATATTTAGCGATAATGAATGATATCAACTGTATTTAATCCATTACTACTCTGGTAGTTTGTATATTTGTATTTTAATACACTTTTCGCTCCCTCTCATTTTTCTCTGAGTTGGACCCTGTCCAGAAACAAGCCTGACCGTCATTCAGAGAGACTTCTCCAACTGAGGTTGTGGTTAACCACATGTGGTAGCCATGGCTGGAATTCCCCAGCCGGCAGCTTGTCTGCATCTGCACTACAGCTCCGTCCAAACAACTCGTCTTTGGGGCAAAAGGGAGTAGCAGCAACACTTTAGAAAACTAGTAAAGGCTTGGTTTTATTTAAGGGATGCATGTAGCTAGAAGATCATTCCAGCTCTCATGCTCATAGTGAAACCTTCAAAAGGTACAGAAACCTGTCTCTTTCACACAAACATTATAAAATACTATACTGTTCATACAGTCTGCATCTTCGCCCTTATCTGTTTATCATAAGTGCGATATTAACTATGCCTAAAGAAAGACAGTTTCACAAGTCTGAGACAAGCATCCATGTTACTTGCATCCATCTGGATTGTAATCATCTTTGGATTGCCTTTAATAATACATTACGATTAAAAGGCAATTGGACAGCAAGTTAAGTTGCTTCGACTATGTCATCTAGACTTCCTGTTACTAGGATGATGTCATATCTCCATGCACTTTGGAGGAAAGCCTCACACTGGATACCGAATGTATAACTTATTATGTCAGCCAAAGATGGAGAACCCTGAAGTGTCCGGCTTGTTTCTGGTGAGGACCCTTTGATTGAGAGTCACTTGGTAACAAATTCTGTTAGCGGGAAATGGTCCACACATACTGTATGGACAGCAGAATACATAAAACGTTCCCTAGGAAACGATATAAAGACAACAAACTGTACCGGCGAAACATGTACAGCCAAGGCTCACAGGTGGTGAGGGATCACTTCTTTATCTCCCCTCTCATTATCTGTTCTCCATCCTGTTGGTACAGAAGATCACCTGCAGCCATCATTTCATGTTAACGTCCTCCCTCTCTTTGTAATCAGTTTAGCCTCTCCATGTGTTTACTCTTATCTAACTAAAGAGTGTCCTCTCAGACTCAATCCTTGTTTTCCTCACTCTACCTTCACCCACTCTTTTGTAATCAGTTTAGCTTCTCTCCATTTATGATTCTGTTCCATTCCTATAGAATGGATATAGGCTTCAAGGTCAGTACCTCCACTGCCGCTTCTCTTTCTTCACTATAAAGTAACAGCAAGAAAACAACTAGTGTTACACCAGACAAGATCTTTTTTTCAGGCGTGTGTATGTTTTGTTTGTTCCTGATATACTTTGTTTTTTGTTGGGTTATTATGACACCCCTCGGTCACACACAACACTCCAACGCTGGTCATATAAACACACAGATACACACAGTCTTCAGCATCAGGTTGAACATTTCTAGCCATTGTTGCTCAATCTCCATCGCTGCAGCATCGACCGTGGGGAATCACGTGTAATCGTCTTCAGAGTTCTGTCGTTCTCAAGGTAATTACGTTGCTCCTTCAATGTTCTGTTGTCATGGAGAAGCTGCCGTCATGGCGGCCCATCTCCTCCAGCACAGCGGCCAGTTCGTTTAGGTCTCCATCGGGGAAGTGCTGGGCCTCCCACAGATCCAGGATCACTCCTGTGGGACTGGACTTGGTGGCAAAGTAGTTCAGATACCTGAAGGAGAGCAGAGGGACGACATATCTCGCTAATATTACATGACAGAATAGATGTCCTTCTCCCACCTTGTTAGCACAAAGTTACTTAGAGATAGAGTGTGTGTTGTAGTCATGGAGTTCTGTCATGAATCAACTTTACTGTAGGAAACAAACTCAAGTATACAAAAGCTACAGGCCGCAACTACAAATCACAACAAAGGCCAAATCTTAATGTTAACATTTGAAATTGAAACCAAACTGTAGGTAAAAGTCAATAGAATACTAATAAATTAAAAAAACACCCTTAAAACTTACATGAAGGGGTCAGAAAAGCCCTTCAGTAATATAAGTATATATACTGTACAGTATATAGTGTTCCATGGATCAACATCAAACTTTCTTCATGATAAAAAACATTCTTACAAAAAAATTATGTTTCAAATTTCTATGAATGAAAACAAAGAAACACAACAAGCAGTTACGTAATCTGGAATAATACAAATCTTTAAAATACATTGGAAATAGTCTAAAGTGATGATATAATTAAGTCTTAGATTTTTTTTAAGGTCAAATATGTAACGTGTCTTTGCAGAAGGGAAATCAAATTACTCTGAAAAGGATTCAGAAAAGCTAACAATCTCTACTTTCTCATGTCACTTGTTAGACGCTTTTATCCAAAGCGACTTACATACTCAATACAGTGGACAATCCCCACAGGAGCAATTTGGGGTGAAGTGTCTAGCCCAGGAACACAACGACATGCTGACTGAAGTGGGGTTTGAACCTGTGACCCCCTGATCCCAACACCAAGGCTCTATCCACTGCGCCACACGCCTCCTCGTGTAAGAAAGTAATCCCTTTTCATGTATTGTCATTGCTCTAAAAGTGAAATGTAATGTATCTTGATCTGACGTGCTCTCTTCAGAACCTGACTAACATAAAATGTGAAAACATATTAAAAGCCCGATATCAGAGCAAAACACGCGGGAAAATACCATAT